ATAATAGTAATTTATGCTAAAAAAAGTAATAAATAAATAATGGTGCAGAAAATCCAACAACATTCATTCAAAGTTGATGGTATTTGCCCCACCCCCAGACACCATTCCTTTTTGCCGTGACTTGGATCCTTCAAAACCTACCTTTTACACTATTTTTGAATATATGTTTCGTAACTGACAGTTTGTTGACGTAGTTCTAAAGCTGAGTAGTAAAGCTTCCAATGCCTTTTTGAATACCTTTAGGGTTTGGTTATCTTCTAGGTAGAAACCATGCCATATATGGTGGAAAGTGGGTGCTGAAAACGAAGTAGAGCTTAATAAAACAATGCTATGGGAAAGGTTTTGTTCCCTTTTCTCTTCCTTCGTGCTTTGACCAATTGTTTTGCTTGACTAAACTGGGGATTGTCCTGAACATATGCACCCGCCAACTTGCATGCGAAGATAAATATTGCAAGAAGAAATTACTACCAAGTAATGATTTTGCTGCCAGAATTAGCAACTAAGTACTACTATTATACTTTGTCAACATTCTAAAAGACTAAAACTCTCAAACTATATCAAGTTCTCATAGGAAAGTGGTTTAATGAGGCTGACGTTATATTTTTCGCTGTCTTTTTTCTTCTGTCTAAAAACTGATATATGTGGGTCTAGCTAGCTAATGGATGCTTTTAATTAGTAACACTTATTATGAGTTATTTAATGCTTCAAATCAATTTTTATTTTTATTTTTAGTTAAAAATTTACTGTAAACACTTAGAAAATTAACATACAAAATACCACTAATTTTATATCTATAATCAATATTCTTCTTCTTCTTCTTTTGTCAAAGATAGAAATTTCATTAAATTAAAATTAAAAAATCTTCTGTCTTTAAATCAGAAGTCATCCAAAAAAACAAAAGAATTATCCTTATAGAAAATGAAATAGATCTACATGCCATTATAAGGGTGCCTAAAAACATATAATGAAAATTTTATATAGAAACTAAACCTCAAGAATTCAAATCTAAACATTAAAAACTATTTTGTAAGTGAATGGATAGTTGGCTTTTTGTGGGTAATCCACTAGTAGCACTGTTATCTTAATCTGACGCTTGATGTACTTTTTTTAATTTTTTTTATCATCTAGACACGATAACTTAATATTAATTATTAGGATTTTATATAAAACTTGCATTGCAACCAAAAAAAAAAAAAAAAAAACCTATGAAAGAGTAGAAGAACAAAAAAAAAAAAAAAAAAAAAAGGAGAGAAAGAAATAACAAGACAAAAATAACCTTAATCCAAGAAAAATACTAAAACAAAGTAGACAAACTATATAAATATAGTTTTTTTTATAGTATTTTTCTTAGATTAATGAAAACGTTTTTTTTTTTTTAAGCTACCATCAATGCAGAAAAAAAAAATTAAGACTCTCAAAGCTTTAGAGAGAAAAAGGAGCATAAAAGTTGAGTTATTCAGGTTGTCATTCTGTAATCAATATTATTCATTTTCATTCAAATATTTAATTTTTTTTATTACAATCTAACAATAAATAAAATATGATAAATATAGGATAAATAGTTTAATTGTTCATTATATAATATTTTAAGTTTTTAATATGTCTCTATATTTTAAATTATATTTATTATGTCTTAAATAATGAAAAATTAATTTTTCTAACCACGAGCAATTTTTTTTTACCAAAATGTTCTTTATTGAAATGTAAATTTACTTTTTTAGAAAAAGCTTCAAAAATAGAATATGCAATTCGTGTGATTTTAAGTGGTTTTTATAATTTTTTTTTCATTTTAAGAAGAGGCATTTTCATCAAAAATTTTTTTCCAATAATTGATAAAATAGATTAAAGACTAAAATAACATTAACAAATAAAATAAATATAATTGACAACGTAATGACTGATTAATATATTTAGATAATGCTTAATAGATGCCTTATATATATACTGCATCGTCACGAAAGCAAACACAAGGGAGATAAAAAATTGATGTCGATACAAACCAACACCTAAACAAATAAAGAAGCAAACAAAGAAAAGAGAAGCGTTGCTGAGACGGTATCGAAAATTCACACCATCCAACTAAGAATCGCGTCACCAAGAATGGCTTTGTGTTCCAGATTTTGTTGTTTGTCGGTGACAATGAAGTCAGGTTATGGTTCTCTTGTTTTTCTCCACCTTTATTAATTAATTATAATAATGCACTATATGCTCACGTACGTACCATTATTAATTAAATTAAGTTATGGATCATTTAGGACTTTTAGGCTGTTGAATATTGTAAGAGCGCCATGACATTGATGGCTTGTTACCTACTCCCACGAATTTTTTTGACATGAATACATCATATATAAAAGCATGTAACGGAAATGTTTAATATTATTATTGTAACTAAGAAGAAAATTTACAGCTAATTAAAATGAAACATGAATTGTCCATGGTGATAATTAAAAAAAAAAAATTTAATTCCAAGGTTTATCCTAAGAATTGAAACTTGAGATTTTAACTCAAAAGTTTTTAATAAAAACACCAGAAGAGTCGCCATTCACAAGCTGAAATTCAGAACACTAAACTTTCAAATTGAGATAAGGCGAAACAATACTCCAAGATCCTAATTTTATCTTTTTTAACTGCCAAATTATTTATTATATAATCTATCCAATAACATATAAAGCCCAAACTTTGTGGTCCTCATAAAATTAAAAAGAAAATTGATAAAATTTATATACAAGGATCCCAAAAAAAATGATGAAAATTAAGTACGAGATTTCACAAAAATTAAAAAGACAAATCAAAATTAAGAAGAATCGAGAAAAAATAACGCATTAATATGTTTTTTGATCTTCAAGATAACTTAAGTTTAAGAATTCAAACTAATCATTTGTTATTATGTTGAACACATAAAATAAATAAAAACTCGAATGTAAAACTATTTGTTTAAATAATTAAATTTTTTTTTTTTTTTACTCAAACCAATTATTTTGGGTATAACTTGTTGATATTTGAATGTTTATCTAGGTTATTTAGCAGATTTTCTCATTGCGTGTTGAGAGTTCCAATCTTAAATAAGATGTAAAAATATAAATTTTATTTGAAAACTTAAAATTAAAATATTTGTAGATGACCAGATTAAATCCTGAAGGAAAAATTAATTTAAACCCAGTGGATAAAAGCTGATAAAAAAATAAAACAGTCCCCCCATGGAAACGCGGAAACAGAGGCGATGCTTTTGCTCTGCTGACGTTGCCCACACGTGAGTCTATGGAGTATTAATTAACCTTTTAAATAATAATAATAATATTAGTAGTGACCAGAACTGGTGTTTGTCCCTTGCACTCTCACGTGCGGCAGATTAGGTTATAGACTTGAAAGGGAATGCGTTTGCCCCCTTTTCCATCTACTACATTTTTCCTTCTCTTAAAAGGACAAACTATTGACTTTCTTTTGTGACATTTATGTATGTTCTACAATCCCGATGTTGAACCTATGGGTAATATTATAAGTTAATCTAAATCCCACTGCGCTCGTGCTGTCAATGGGACATTTGTTTTTAGGCTTCAGTCAGAGTCATCTGAGAGATACATTATATTAATACTATTAATCTTCCGTCTCAAAATTCTTTTTCTAATATTTTTCAATTTCTTGCAACTTAACACCGTATATGCTACCGAATGGTTTTCATAACTTAACACTATGTAATTTCATAATATGATTCTCCGTATCCAAAGATTAACCTGTCCGTCAAAACCGTAGCCTGAATTTTTCTCTTCTTTTCTGTTTTCCTTTTTGGGTGAAAAGAAAAGAAAAGTACGTTTGATTGGTGTAATTGGGTTTCTTTAGTCTGATGGGAACTGTTGGCTTGGTTTTCTTATATATATATATATATATATATATAAAGGAAGGAAGGTTGGCTTGTCTATCAGGATGATACGATCATGTGAAAGAGTGACTTCTGCTCCTAACACATTCAGGTTTTTTTTTGTTTGCTTTGTAAATTTTGTCAAACATATGGCTATACGTAAGTAGTTGAGAATCCTTTCGATAATCTATAGGGAATCCTGTTGTCGTGTGAACATTTTGATACACTGATTAATAACAAGTTAACAACCCACGAGATATTATTACAAGAGAGGATACTATAAGTCAACTGAACTCGTGTTTGTTATTAAGATGTGGTTAGACACTTAACCACCTGTTTTTATTTAGTCAACCACGCAACAAAGTGATTTTCTAAGATGGCTTTCTACAATTAAATAATTTGCTTTCAGGAAGAAACTTGTATTTTTCAATTTCTTGCTGGTGTGACATTTGATTGCGATTCTTAAATTTCCAACCAAAATATGCTTCCTGGTCAAGGAGAACAGTCGGATTACTTGGTGTATGTTTTTTTTTTTTTTGGTCTTTCCTGGTTAGCAATACTATGTTGCTTCCTTGAGTGCCAACCATTATTTTATATCCATTGGATAACTGTCACAAATTCTGTAAAAGGACATTTGATATCAAGGGATTTGGTATTTCTTCATTCCTTAATCCAATTAAAAAAAAAAAAAAAGGCTCTCTATTTTCAAGCCAAACAATATACAGAAGCCAAAACGAGAAAAGACTTTGCATTTTGCATCATGCTTAGGACAACATTTTTCAGAAGGCTCCACTCATTAGAACCCCCAGAAAAAAAAAAAAAAACCTTTGTTACAAGGATCATGTCCGATTGAAGACTGGATTCATAGAACTAGCATGCCAGTAAAATAAAAAGGAAAAACTAGTAAAGAATTGGTACGCGAAAATTACTGAATTGGACCGTAACAAATTGAGAATCAAAGGAAGTTTCCAAATCTACATTTTCCTTCAGAAAATGAAGCGAAACAAGAATCTAAGAAACTTTTAACTGAGAATTCCAAAAATTAAATCAGAGCAGCTCCTCCTAGAACTTGAAGAATAGCAAAAGGTAAGCACAGGAATCAAGGATTACAATAAAACAGCTGTACAATTTGAAACCAAAAAGTTTATTTCTTCCTGCACATTCCTACATTATCACTTCTTGAATCTGTTACAATTGTCAGCCTCCTTGCTGTTTTGGAGAAGTCACTGCAAGAAATGAACCAGTAACAATCATTCTCGAGGGAATGTGCACAATAGCACTCACTCAGTAGCAAAAGCCACAGAACAAAATAACCAATAAAAGCTAAAACGAGAAGGAGTCACACCTGAATGGTTCCTCGCCAATGTGTTTGGTAATGCCATTAACATCACGATAAACCAAATTGCCAAATTTCTCAGAATTCCTTAGGCCAAACATGTCAGCCAGCTTTCTATACAACTCCTCGTAAGATCCAAGCAATGCAAGGTCAAGCGTGCGACCTATATCTTCTGATTCCAGGAAAACTTTACAGTGACCAGTCTCTAAGGATAGCTGACTCTTTTGGTGGTTGTCCCTATTCCATTGCAATCCTTCACACAAGGAGCGCTCTGGTCGGCCTTGGTGATGAAAAGTGGACACAGAGCCCTCAGAAAAATTTGCCATCTTATCTAAATTTCCTTCAGAAGAACTATTTCCAGTAAGAACAGTTGAGGCAGCATTACCAGAGAAGCTAAAAGAGGTCTGCTGCTCAGCAAGTATTGGTTGACCAAAAAGTATAAGCTGAGGTATCTTCACATCATCAGCTTTCTTTGAAGTCTGGCAAGAATGCGCCATGGTCAGCTCACAAGAAACATCCTCACTCACGCTAGGCTTTTGAATGGCTTGGACATTTGAGGGTTTAGGGAGTGAAGCAGTATGATCAAGCGGTGGAGGGAAACCAGCCCGAAGTAGACCTGTATGCAGTTTATTGAGGTGGAAATCTGATAATGGTAGACCATAATGAGCATGCCTGGCTCCCTGCATGCCAGCAGGAGTGTTGTCAGATAGACAACCAAAGGTACTGCTGGGCCCAAGGAGGTTGCCGGAAAATATCGTCATGGGAAATTGACCGTCAATGGGAAAATCCGGGTGTTGCGGAAGTCTCAACTTCTTCCTTGGTGATGAGAAGGGGGAAAAATGGATGGCAGACATATTTGATGCCAATTCCACTAGCCATGGGCTAACACGTTTCACATTTTGAAGCAAATCAGGCTCATCCCATGTAACCTGCAGCATACAAGTTCAAGTGCCCAACGAAAAAAAATTAACGTAGCAGCAGAAATCATCTTCATAAATACTCTGGATGCTGTTTTTAGCCATTTTCTTAATCAGCATATCAAATCAAAACAAGAAACATTTTCCTATTGATTAGTATCTGCAAAATGGAAATTCAATTATGCAAGTATCCTGTGCATGATAAAATAAAATCATCCATTCACTGATTGTTAATTTCAAACACCCTCAGTGAAATATTCTTGAAAATGTTCACACAACGCAAACCAAAACACAGTAACTATTAGCTTAAATAACATTGATCTAAGCCAACTAATCAACATATGGGGTTTAAAAGGCTAAACAAGATAGGTAATCAGAAACTAACACAAGTTTTCTAAATGCAAACAAACTATTTCCTAATCTCCGTGGATATATGTTCACCTCAAGCAATTTAGTATCCCTAATGTTTAGCAAGAGGAACCCTGCCTCTGTTTAAACAGAATTGAGCAGCAATTCTTTAAAGTTGTTGGTGTTTATTATTATTATTATTATTTTCACAAACGACAGCATGAATAAGTCTAGCGTCTTATGACTCAGGGATGCATAAAACTAGTAGCCTACGATTTATATTGATAGCAACGAAACAAACAGATAGTGGTATGATACTGCTCCTAAAATAGCCAAATATTGCAGAATACTGAGTATAATGACAGACTACCTGATACTCAGAGACGACAGATTAAAGGTGTACGTGAAATCATTTAAGGTTTATCACAGTATTAGCATGCTACCCATTTGTCCTTTCATTTTGTAAACTTGATATTGTCTTATTGGCGAAAGAATATACGAATGGAACTAGGGAAACCCACGTAGACAAAGACATCAACTACAGAGGTAATAACAACAAGAGTTTAAAGTTTTAAAGTAAGGTAAATGAGACTCCTTTTCGGCCATCAAAATTACTTAGAGATGACAATACCTGGAGAAGTCTCCATGGTGAATCAGGCCAACAAAGAGGATCAGCAACCTGAACAGAACAAACAGTTCCCATGAACCAACTAATCCGGGAAGAGTCCTCAGTTTCAAAGGCCATCTTGAACCGCATCCCTGAACACCACTGGATCTGCATTGCTGTTTTTACCAACGAGGCCTTCACACAGAACTCAGGAGTATTGGCTCGAGGGTAGTAAACCACCTCAAAAGGCAGTCCATTTGCAGCAAGAGTAACAGCTTGAATAACCGATTCAGCCCTTACTTTCCCTCGCCCCATCAAACTTTCATTTGACTTCAAACCATTGCCATTGCCACTTCCATTTCTCATCAACTTATGCTCATCTTCCCTTAAGAACGCGCTAAAACCCCCATAAGGCACTGCAGAATTCCCACCAGCCGGATTCCACAAGGATTCAGGTCCACCACCAATCGCCCTCTTAGCTCTTCGAACACCAACGCAAAGATCTCCATTCTCCGCCCTCAAAAATACAACAGAATCACCAGCAACAAGCTTCTTATGATTCACAAATGGGCTCCATCCAGTTGTCAAAAGATGCCTTCTCGGTGTCCCTCTATAGATATGCCTGAACTTCCATGTCTCACCGTGAACATCCTTAGCAAGAAGGGTCTGCACAGGTGGATCTGCTGTGTAATCCAAACGTGGAAAAATCATCTCAGCGCAGTACCTTGGCACGGAGAAACCTCCACCATTATTTGCATCAGATTGAGTCAGTGTCTTGGCAAAAGAAACCGGCTTATTATTGTCTTGTGCGGCCTCCACTCCACCATTAACTGCAACTTCTTGGTCATCCAAATCGAGTTCATTAGAATTAATTGGAACCAACCTAATTTTAGCAAAGACCTCGTCAGTTTCAGGATCAGCCATGAATTTGACAGCCAAGACTCTGCATAGAGTATGAGAAACATAGGGAGAGTTCCTGAAATCAACAGGCTCACACGCATGCTCGGCATGGCCTTGAGGGAAGTAGAAGACCTTAGAATTCACTGCCGGCATTTGGACCATGCCACCGGCGCAGGCATGCCATAACTGAGAATCTAAGCACTTGCCAGCCTCCTCTTTCAATTTCTCTTTTGCTTCCATAAATGTTATCATTCTTTAGAAGAAGCCATAACCATACAAAAGATCAAACAATCAGGAATTGCCAGTACAAATAAAAGAAAGAATTAATCTTTCAATCAAGAAAACAGAAAAAGCACAGTCCAACAGAGTTGTTACCTTAAAAGGCATACGCTATGATGTAGAAGCAAGAGAGTCCAAGTTTGAAGAATCTTTATTTCTGTTGCATAGAGAGAAAATTGAATCTTTTCCTTCCTCACTGAGATACGCACTAAATTCTGATTATCACAAGAAGCAGCTGTATCCAAAACTTGGATTTCAATTCCAATAAAACCTCAGCATTGTTAAAGAAACAAAACTTCGCTACTTCTGTGGCTCCCTCATCTCTAAACCCTTTCCCTTTGCAGCCAAAAAGAACCCCTCCTTCCAACTTTTTGGCCCTTTTGAAACTAGGAAGTAACACAAAAAAAAAATCTCTACTTTGCTCTTGATAGAACTAGTCCAAAACAATTGGATTGATTGACACAAAAAAACACTTTAAACCTAAAAAAAAAAAAAAAAAGAACTGTACCCGCAATCTTGTTCTCTCAAATATTCTACCGAAAGCAAACAAGATAAGTAACTAACTAAACAGAGAAAACTCTCTCGGCATATCCTCAAAATTCTGCTGCTAAAATTTAGCAGACAAAAAAAGACGTCTGGAAGTAACTCTCCAAAATGAATCTTCAGAGATTCAATCAAGAAATCATGGCAGACAAAGCAGCAGATAAAAAGGTATCATCAGAGAAGCAGAAAATAAAAGAAAGAGCAAAATATTTTTCTTTTTGGATCATGCAAGAGTCCAAAAAAAGACACAAACAGACACTTGCTTTGAAAGAACAGGAAAAAGGCCTTTTTAACACCCGCCCAATAAAGAAAAGAATCAAGGCCGAAAGGAGTGGTAGTAGTAAAGTAATTGTAGTGGCTATAGAAGTCTTTCATGTGTTTATTTTTCCTATTTTTTTCTTTTGCCTTTTTCGTCGGATCTGAAGAGAACTCTGTGTATCTTCAGAAGCCACCAAAACAACAAAGATCTTTAAGAAACCTGTCCAATTTCCTTTTTCTTTTTTTGCCCCCTCTTGATGATTAAATTAATTAAAATATTTCTTCATTAAATTCCTTCCCCTCATTATTCAATCTTCTTCCAAATATTAGTTAATTAAAGAAGTGATGTTGTTGATGAGGTTGGTTTTCTTACCTATCGTGATATTTCGCGAGTTTTATGAGAGTGTGGACTGCTCTAAAAGCAAGGCAACTAGACAAGATAGTCCTCCACTGGACAAGTTAGCTGTAGTTTCTCTTACCAATACATTAATTTAGTCCTTAGTGTATGTATATATATATATATATATGTTTTTATTGAGTTTCAACAAATAAAATATTTATCTACTGAGTCCCTAACGTTTCACAAATACTCAATTCATTAATTATACCAAACTTTCTTGATTTTATTGTCTAATGTGCATAATTTATGCAATAAGTCTGTCCCATTTTAAAGAAAATTCGAAATTAATTGACTTAGAAGCAAGGAGCCAATTGAGAAATATATGAATTGTCTGGGATACAATTGATAAAAAAAATTGTTTGGGACGTATTTTAGAATTGGATAAGAGATTAGGGGATAACTTGAGGTTCTCTGCCGTTGTTTTCCCAAGATTAAACGTTGAAGTAATTAAGTAAATTATAAATTAGTCACTCTAGTTTTGCAGAACAAATTAAATAGTTCTTCTTGTTTCAAAAATTAATCAATTAGTTCATTAGCCAATATGGGACATGGTTAATATAATCTAAGAGACTAGTTCATATAGAGTTTCCCCTTGGTCTGATTCCACTTCTTATTTTATCTCAAAATACGCCTTTTTTTTCATCATTTTTTTTAATAAAATATATATATATATATATAAAGACTAATTAATTAGTTATTAAAACTAGAAAGACTAACTAATTTATTTTAAAAGACTAGAGGGACTAATTTATAATTTAGTCTTAAATGTGGTAACCCAACTTTTGAGTTTGACACGTTGTGCTTAGTAGTATTTTGTTTTTCATTATACATGTAGGTATGGATGTGTTTTTAGAAAGTTTTATGGTGAAAACGTATGCATGGATCTAGCTAAGTGGAAGCGCACCCAAATGCTATCAATCACGCATTCATGTTTAATTGGGTACGAAAATTACAAAATCTAATGACTTTAAAACATTATTAACATGTTGAGAAACAGGATATCATTAAAAAAAAATAACTAAACTCTTTGTATCAAAATTTTTAACCATATATTTCTATTTAATAATGATTGTTTTTACAATATCCTATATTTTACGTTTTAGTTTAATATGTACATGGTAGGGAACAAAAAAGAAAAAGAAAAAAAAGTAAGGTTATTCTTTCAAATATTGAATCAATCCATATTCAAATCCATTCCAGTGTTTATAACTTTTAAATAATATAGAAGTTGAATTATGCATCAATTGTGCATCTACTTTTCTTTTTTTTCATACCGTTTTTTTTTTTTTTTGATGTAAAATGATGAAATTAGGTGGTATAATCTATAGTACTGTTTAAAAAATAAAAAAATAATTAAGAATTTAGATTGAATATGTACAAAAAATATAGAATTATTATATATACATGTTTTCAATAAAAAAAAATGTTTTTTTTTTCATTTTAATTCTTAGTAATATGATTGTATGGATTATTTAGGGTTAGATAAGTACTGTAATATAAAATAAGTTTGAGATATAAGAAAATCATTTAATTTGTTAATAATTTGGTACTTTCAATTTTGTGTCTTAAATGAATTAAAATTTTAGATAAATATTTTTTTTAAAAAAAGATATGATATTTAAATACCATTCATTTTAAGACATGTCATAACCCAAATTTTGGGTTATATATGTTCCTCCAATTTTATCCCTTTTAGGCTTTTATTTTTTTTATCTTCTTTCATTTATTTGTTTTATTGGTTTTTTATTTTTATTTCATTTAATTTTATTTTATTTTGGTATTTACTACCCAAAACAAAAAAAAAAAAACAAAAAAGGAAGAAGAATAAAAAATACAAAAATTATATTAAAATATAAAAATTGTATTGCACAATTAATTAGGGGCGTGATTGAATAAAATCAAGACTAAAAATGGAACAATTGAGGATACCATTGAAACAATTGAAAACCCTACGACCGAAATTACAAGACTTAAGGACCCAAATGAAAAAAATTAAAATACAAAGAATACAACGACACACCTAGGTGGTACAATTGAAACAAAATTAACATTCAAGAACCTAAATCAACCTAAGACACAAACGACGTGACCAATTCAAAATCTCCGAATGATCCGTTGTCCAAGCTTCGTCAACACCATTAATCATAATTATTCAAGAGTCCTGCGAACATTAGGTAGCAACAAAATGTTGACTCCGTCGAGATTTAGAACTAGGTCATAAGTTTAGTCCTTTTTTAGTTTATCTCTTTTATTTATTTTCGTCATTTATTTTTCAAGTCATTTGTTTGTCATTTAATTTTAATTTATTTCGAGTTCTTGTATATACTTCAAGTCCTTTAATTTATGTGATTTAATTTGTGTATTTTTTGTGGACTGGGTACATGTATTTATTTTAAATTGTTACACACACCATAAAGGAATCCTGCAATATCTACTAGACCTAAACTAAAACTCTATTCATTGGCGTGTCCATTAAACCTTACATATATTTTTAGAGAATGCTGGGAACATATCATTGAAGGAATATATGTCCAACATGTTCACGAGAGAAGGCAACATGACGACAGACAAATTAACGACTTGGGACTTTCAAGCTAAATCTTGTAAGGTGATTTTTAGGGTCAATGAATTACCTATTCTTTGTCGCTCAATGTTCATAGACGACTGATTGGTATTGCTTAGCTTTCGTCTAGCTATAACCTAATCCTAGCATCTAATTGTCAATCTGGTATCAATTGGGATTTATTGTATAGCTCATAGGTATGTTATGCTAAATATCGATCATTGTGGTTTTCAAGAATTTTTTAGAAAATTTTCAAGGGTTTAGGCTTCCTTATCCTCCTAATCTATTGAGCTAGGTTGGTTTATCCCCTCTTGTTTATTTGTTTGATTATTTATAAACTTCTAGGGTACCATCCTTGTTTCTTAAAAAAAATTGAAAAATAAAACTCTATTAGGATTGAGATAGAAAGATTTGAAGACAAGTATGACAATGGTCTATTGATGCTCGTGCGGACTCTCGTTGGATCGAAGCTCACCTTATGCATAGAAAATTGTGAAATAACTTTTCCATACCTTCCGGTGCATAAGATTAGAGGCTGGATTATCTCACTAAAAATTTAATTAGTCCAAAAATAGGAAAATACTTTAGGATTAGACAAGGTTTGCCTAAACCCTAAAAAAGCTAGATCCTATCCATCGGGATTGTCCATTTAAGACATGAGCTATACGTAATTGAAGTCAATTCTAATATTTTTTTTTATAGGTTATAATCTAAGCAAATCATGATAAAGAATGATGTTGAGAATTTTAAGGCCATATCGAACGGACCCAGTTTAAGTAGGAGACTGTCTACCCTTAGATTTTATGTCAAAATTACAAAAAATAAAGACCATAAGCAACAAGTATTACACTAAAGAGGAGCTCGTACAAGATTCGAAACCTTATAACCATTGCTACCTCATGTCCATATCTAGAAATTACGGAGAGTAGAATAAGAATCTGTATATAATGAAAATATTATGAGCATTCTACTATAATCTAAATGGTTGTAAAAAGTGATTATTGTAATAAAAACAATTTTTTTTTTGTTTTTATCATTCGATGAAAAATGGCTTTAAGTTGCATTTAGAATGTGCTAGAAATCTAAATTTAAAATTTTTCTATTTATGCTTGTTATAAAATGCTCACATCACTCAAGGTCCATATAAAAATAATCCTATCAAAGACAAATATAATCTAGGATAGGCATGTTTTCCGAATCACCTAAAAT